TTTGTCAGGGACACCCTCCTCAGATCCATCTCCAGGATAATCACAGCAATTTCATCGGCAGTGGGAAGATTATATCTTCGACCATCTGAGCCCTCCTGGAAGTGAATGCGTAACACGAACATCTGTTGCTGCTCTGGAGGCTATCTCTCGCACTGACTTAATAGGCCTGTTTATAAAGAGGAGCATAGGGATGGCTTCGATACAGCATGTCATGGAGTGCTCTGAGAATGCGACGATCAAGACCATTCATTTCCAGGTCGGTTGCACGGATGTCGGTGGCTTCATCAGGATCATAGATATAAAGTTGGGCATACGATGGCTGACGACCTTCTGGAGGCATAAGACTGCCCATGAGGTGATGGAGGGATCCATGGATACGAAAAGCATTTGGGCCAGAGCCTTGAAGAGCATTGTCCTCGATATTGACGCCCACCGATGTAAATGCAAGAGAGCTGTTGTACTGACGAATCTTGGAGACAAATGTTCGGTCTGTATAAGCCTGCTGCAGCTCGGGTGGCCATGCTGGAAAGGGTGGAAGGCTGACTTTGCCCTGCAAGCAGCACATACCAAAGTGTGGATTTCGTAAAGAGGAGTCGGAGAGTCTTTCACATGCAAAGTGCCTTGCATGGCAGTTGGGGACACTCTATATCAAGGGGACCAAGAGTATGACGGGCAATAGGCTCTGCATATGGTCGACCTCCACCATGGATAGGAAGATTCTGAGCAGGTGCCTGGTTGGCATGCTCCTCATCTTCTGCCTCAGATCGCTGATGATCTTCCTGCTGCCGATTTCTCCTTCTTTCCTCATCATCGTCGTGCTGTTCTTGAGATGCTGGATCATTATATTCACGTAGTGCTGCTTCTAGATGTTCCTCTTCCTCATGGTGGTGTTGGTTCTCCCCTGCCTGTTGATGTGCTCGCAGAAGATCCTGCTGACGATCTCTTCGGAGCTGCTGCTGGCGAACAAATTCCAGATTGCCAAGATATACTTGCTGAGCTCTCTGCTGTTGCAAGTGAAAGGCCTCTTGATCTTCCTGGGCTTGTCTACGAATACGCTCAGCTTCTTGCTGCCGTAATAATTGCTCTTGAATCTGTTCCCGATGAAATGCCTCCTGTGCTTGTCTATGAAGCAATGCTTGTCTATGAAGCAATTCATTTCTAATCCTCTCGTTTTCTATTTCCTCTGCCTGTAAATGGTGTTGAAACTGAATATTGAATGGTTGATAATCTGGTTGAGGTGGTGCAGGTAATGGTGGTGCAGGGTTAGGAGCGAAGTAGCGGAGAGGATTTTCAAAGTTGTGAGGACCAACTGCACCCTCATAGTGAATAGGGCCATACATGGGAGGGGCAGGAGGAATTACAGGTTCGTTAGGGATGTGAGGTTGCTGCGGCGGCTGCATCCCAGCTGCCATGAGCTCTGCCTGTGCCTGCTGTCTTATCTCATCTCTTTCCTGTTGCCGACGAAGATTACGTTGACGGCGTCTATCATTATGAGCTGCATTCATTTGCTCATTCAAGCGTGCATTATAATCAACCCGAGGAAGACGATGAGCATGAGCATGCTCCACATGTGCAATCGCATTTCGTGGCAAGCCGGGATACTGCCCAACTGGTAGAGGTTGATATGGAAAGTCAGGGGGAGGTTGCCATGCAAAAGGTCGTGGAACAGGCCCTGCTTGTGGCAAATTAGCTGGCATGAAATTTGGCTGTGGTACAGGAGGCGGAGGCCTGTCCTGAACAGCATGCCGACAATTGCGTCTACTGGGAGATGTCATTTGAAGTCGATTAAGTCTATCATGTTCGCGTTGGGAGTGTCGATCACGTTCTGGTGTTGTCTGTTGCAAATTTCTAAATGGTGCAAAGTGACATGCAGACATTAGCATCATGCACCTTATATGCATAGTCAGTGACTCACGGGACAGGTAGATTCTGATCCATGTTCACTATTTTTTATTTAAACAGTTGTTTGGCAAGTTCAAAATGAGTTGCCTGAACTCATTAATCAAGTCAGAATTGTTGCATGTTTCTATCATTGTTGTTGAATAAAAATGAAACCCACAAAAGGTGTATTACACTTTATTACACTTGGCTGCAGGGGAAGGCAATTTCACTCGAGAATGCAATTCAAAAGCAGCAGCCGAGTTGTGTAATCAATTGTGTAACCAAGGTTCTATTATTGCTTTTGCTAATCTCGATGCCAATTCCCCCATGGTAGGAAAGCTGTGTTGTTTGTCCGTGTTGTGCGCGGAGCGCAGTAGGCGTGGAGATTACTGTCCACTATATCGCGTTTGGAAGGAATTTTGAACTCTGTAGAATTTAGCCTCTCAAAATCTCAATCTCACTTTTTTGAAGTTTTTTTCTCAACTCAACCGTTATTAGCAAGCTCAAGCGAGAAAACCACGCGAAATTTCTAAATCGAGGTTAAGCGAGCTAACCGCAAACCATGTGGCCTTTAGCGAGCTACGCGTCTCCCACACACAGCCACAAAACAGGTCTCCCTTAATATTATGATGTTTCTTGCCGGCTACACCTAGCTATACCCGGCATATAACCGGTAAGCCCGATATAAGGTTTACCTGCTGATATCAGCTAATCAGTAGCCGGCAACTCCCATCACTTCTTCTGCTATTGCCGCCACCGTCTCCCACGACAACCAAACATGTGTGCTCATCATCGACCACGATGAGCACACACATGAGGCCCGATCACCACCATTTTCAAGCGCTTTTTTTGTGCCCTCACATTGGGGTCTTTTCACTGCATCTCCACCAGCAATATCAACATTTTACCCATTATTCAGACGGTCGTATGGTGTAAGGTATGTTGATGTTTCCGCGCTAGCTTACTAAGCTTTATTCCTGTCATCTCCACCGCCCACCATCAACGATGGGGAAGGAATGCACTCTCCGTTTGATGTCACGTCGTGTGATGATGTCTGTCCTACGCAGCTCTGGTCTATATACTTCGTCAGTTGGACCCTCTCATATACGCCAGGATCGCCTCGAAGCTCAGCGCTTGAGAGAACAACAAGCCTGTGGTAAGCAGCCCACTCTCTATCAAACATTATGTTGTATTAACAGCATTTTACACTAGCGCTGATCTACGCGCTCCACCAACTGGCCCCTTATATGAAGCTGAGCACCTGAGACAGCAACAAACTACCCTATGGCGAGTCATAGCCCTTTTGTTACTCTCTTGTTCTTATCTATTTCTATGTCCCATGTCTCCTATGACCAGTAGCAGCTGGCGCTCCTCATATCTACTTGAAATCTTTACATGGTCACTCACTGGGCAGCCCACACAGCAGTGCCTCCATTTGATGATGCATGATTCTGGTATGCTGTTGATAGTCGCAGTGCCAGCAGTAGCGAGACTAGAATGACCGTACTCAAAAGTTTTCTTATGTGAACTTGAACCTTATGATAGCTTAGCCTTTAGTTGTTAGGTTGAATATATTGTTCTTTGCTAATGACATAATACGCGCGTCATTGAAAATTACGACAAAATATCTAAATTACTCATCCTCTGAGTCGGATGACGAAGACAGATCATCTATATCGCTATTGACAATGTCCATGCTCTTTTCAGCCACCTTTGTGGCGCGCTTCTTCCTTGGCTTGTATACAGCCTCACCATTGGCTTGACGAGCTCGGTTACTTTTCATCCTCTGTCGCAGCTCATCCTCTGTGAGTTTGTTCCAATAACAAGTGCCATTGGTAAGCACATTGAGCAGTGTTCGCACTTGCTCCCTTCCACCTATGCGCGAGGGATTTCGAACAGGTAAAAGGGCTGAGGGCCAACCCTCTAATGTAATACCGTAGCGTTCGACAATGGCACGCTCATAGTTAGTATAGTTCATCTTAACCCTGTGGTCGGCAATTTTTTTCTCGCGCAAGATGTAGTCTGATACAATGGACATTAGTGAATGTGACAAAGAAAGGTAGGAACAAATATAGCCCACCTAACTCGTCTTGTATATGGGTCCTGCACTCACTGATCAACTTGTTGAGAGAACGAGGTTGGTTGCGGGTGGTCGGAACATTGGCATCTATCAATAATAACATTAGAAAGGTTGGTTCAAATAAATCAAAATAAAAGCTCACCAAGCCCCGAGACAACAAAAGCTTCAAGTTTTAAAGCCAAGCGCTGCAGCTCCAAGTCAAGAACAGCATGTGCAAACTTCTCTGCTTTCTCGGAGAAAAAAAGCTTTGGGCCGCTAAGGTCCTCAACACCACCTCGTACCACTATGTAAAACCCTTCGATTCCGAGTCGTGAACACATTGCTGTCCACTAAATGCCAATTAGCAAGTGAGTTCAGCAGCTGTAAAGTAGAATGGACCTCCTGATCCATTGCAGCAAAGGATGCAAGCATGTCACGCTGCACGGCCTTTGGGTTGTCGTGGATGAGCTTTTGCTTTTTGATGCGCCTCTTCATGACCTGGATTTCGAGCGAATTTTTTTGAGTGGCAGTGAGCCTTGAATAATCATGTTTGAGAGTCTCCTTGTGAGCTTCCATGAACTCCATCAATTTCCAGCGGTCACCGCATGAAAGGCCTAAGAACTAGTGTTAACTCTACCAGAAAACAACATACTAATCAATATACCCTCGTTAATGTTGTTCAGCTGCTGACGAACAAATCCGTTCCATGCATTCGGAGCACATTGACGGTGGACAGTTTGCCCACCAAGGTATAACTGACGTCTCGTCCAGCGCTCAGATCTGGTGTTGAATTAATTTTATTATGACAGTATTATCATGAACCCCTACCGCCCATGTTTCTTTGTGAGCCCTTGGACTTCCTCCATGTAGGCCGCTCGTGTATCATTGATGTCATTGGTAAGGGACACAAACTTTTCACGATGAGCAGCCTTCTGAGAGGTGGTGAGCTGCGGACGGACCTTCTTGACAGCACGGGTCTTCCCATTGCGTGCCATCGACTCGGAAAATTGTTAGACAAGAGTGGAAGGGCCAGAGTACTAGCCGACTTATATAGTTGGCTTGGAGGCGCAGGTTAGAACTGGTTCAATTTTTTTCGACTGTCAACATAATCACATTGCATAACGTGTGAGACGAAATAGTTACAATTACAGTAGGCAGCATACAAGGTTGCAAAGATCTAAAACACTAAACTATGCACCATTATTACACGGTCAATTTAAAAAATATCAGAACTTAAACTCACCAATAGTGCCAGCCGAAACGTCATGCATGAACTTCAAGATCGAGGACATCAAAGGTTCCACTATCATATTCTCCTCAAGGACATATTGCCATTGAGGTACTTCAAATCCGGCATCTTCGTTGATGCAGCTGTGTATCTCCTGCAACACACCTCGTGGAAGATGGTGAATAGCAAGCACAGCCTTAACTCGATCAAAACTAATAGCTTCTGAAGCTAACGTCGGTGTTGCAGAGCCGACAGTCGTTTCAAGAGTGCTCCCACAAGGGTTGGGCAGAACTGAAGTAGGTGCCGACAGTGCCAACATTGAATCTGTGATTGCAGTGTGAGTGTCGTTGAGTGCTAGCGTGATAAGATGGTAAGATGAGTGATAAAGAAAACTCACGACTTGAATCTGCGATCACAGTGTGAGTGGCGTCAAGTGCTAGAGTGATAAAATAGTAAGATGAATGATAACACAAATACAAGGAATGAAAACTTATGACTCTTCTCATATGCCTCAGAAGGAGGCACTGGTGCTGGAGTGGACGACATCAATACTGAGTCCATAACTTGGGAAGAAATCAGATTGATTGTGACAATGTAGATTGAATACGGATCACTCACTCTTCTGCTGAATACGAGGCAATAACTTCACCTTTGTCAAACAGCCATTGAAACACTGATCACGAAACGCAGGGAGGATTCGAGTTTGAAGCATTGCAGAGATTTCGCTGATAGCATTCGTGAGATCAAGAGTGGGTGGATGAGACGTAACAGCAAACACCGTGATTTCTGGAGACCGAACGGCTAAATATTGTTTCACCTTGCCTCCTCAATGGACACGAATCCTTGTTTGAGGTGAAGTTGGGTACTTGAAGTTGAATGTTGCATGAAACTGGATGGTGACATAGTCATGCTAGCTTTGCATAAGAATTGTGATGGTTATTAAAAGAAAACAAGACTCACTGATAAGCTCGCATCATCCTCCAAGAAAGCAAGATCTAACTATTGTAGTCGATGAATTGGCCGAGGCAGATGACCATCTCTACCTTCCTCTTGGGTAACATATGTACTCTTTTTTCGAGGCATTTAGAAGATAGCGACGTCAAAACAAAGTATGTAGTAGTAAAGTCGAAAGTTACTCAAATCATAAATGTGGCGCAAGCTGATATGATTTTGAATCGAACAACATGCTGCAGCCACATTTGATATGAAATCAGATGTACGTCAATATATGGCGAGTGAAATCAAACTTTTATCAACTCAACCTAAATACTAGTCATAGGACATGCGGTGTGCGGCCTTTACTCAGATCTTGTGGCCGCAATGGATTAATATCGCTATATATGTTTTGTGCATGTCCAATCTACAACTTAACACGACATCTTGATTATGATGGCATCAGTGCGTTGTGAGTTCACACCTGAGGCCTGAGGTTTGTGTGTCGTCAAATGACTCAAATATACAAACTAAAACATTATCGTGCTACAACTAAACACTACTGTGACATCTGCTGAATACAGGACTCAAACCATGCTGACTCCTCGCCTTCTAACATCGGATCAAATTCCTCCTCATTCTCGCTACCAGTGACTGTCGGATTAAATTGCAAGGGGATAGTACCAGTGTAACCTGGTAAGCTATATATGCATGTGAGGCGGTTGCGA